ATTCATTATAATGCCTTAAGAATACCCTTATAATGTATTATAAATACGGGCTTCATAGAAAGTGTTACCCAATTTTTTTACATCTTAACATTTCAAAAACTGTTTTTTAGCTCCTCCAAAACACAGATCCATCCCAGTATTGACATTAACGGGGAGATGGTTGAAAGAGTGGAGTATTTTAGATACCTTGGCATTACATTGAATGATCATTTCAGTTTTAATCAGCATATCTTAGGTATCCATAAAGGCTGTCAACAGAGACAAATCTTATGTACTGTAGAAATGGAATACTGAACAGTCTGGAATAACAGAGTTCATAAAACTCGCAAACTAATTGAAAGTCTATAAAGAACACTAACACAAACACAAACACAAACACACACACACATAACTGTGAGCTAATGAGAGTAAAGCATTTCCATATGGGAACGTATGTTTTTGAGTATCTGTTTTTATGTTTATGTGTTGTTGACAGGGGCAGTCTGTCTCGGGGGGGGTTGTTGTTGAATCTGGTTTGGTTTATGAGTCACTTTAAAGATTAGCCTCGTTATAAAACTGCCCTCATAAGATAGATTTTACTGCTTCCAATTGCAGCATGGAACAGTGGGATATTATATAATTCAACATAATATTGGGGCCCACTGAGAAAAATGGACTGAAAAAAGTCCAAAATAAAATAGAAATTAATCGAAACAAGGAGCAAAAAGAACGCCAGGCCAGAAGAGAGAGCCGTAGGGTATAATTGCAAGCCACAAACAGCTGACAGCAAAGACAGATGGAAGTTTTTAGAATTGCGTGGAAAAACATTAACTGACAGTCACCACTGATAAGCTACCACTAAATATTGTAGAAACTTAATTTGCTGTAAAGTTGCTTTGCAATGATTTGTATCATGAAAAGTGCTGTACAAATAAACTTGACTTGACTTGACTTGACCGATAAAGAAAATAAGAATGTTAGACCCCATTCATTCATTAATGAGGTCAATAATTATGTTAGTGAATAATACGGACACTCTATATGTCACGAAACGAGTATGCAAACATCTACAACTGCTAAAAGATGTAGGTTTGAGCCACTTGTCTTGATTTGGATGAAGTATTTGGCGTAACTAGGACATTGACCAATATGGAAATAATCAGCGAAATTACAAAAAAAAACATTATTTTTCCTCGGTTTCTCCCACTGGTACAGATGTGAGGTTTATAAAATTGCAGACGGGTGCTGTGCCCTGGGCAAAGAGACAGACAGAAAGATGGATTGAGAGAAACAAGGTAACCACAGCGAAAACAGTAACAGCCGGGCCGTCTATGTGACAGTTCAGCTGATATATCAACACCTTCTTTGTTAGGATTTCGCAGAGCTGGCTTTGGATTCTTTGATATGAAATTATGCATCATTTCAAGCAGAAAAAAACTCAGAACAATGGACTAACTCAAAAAAGATGCAACCAGACTCTGCTGGAGAAAGCAGCACCTTAGGCAACATCTACTTTGTCAAACAATTTCAAAGTATAGCTATGAGGCAAACATTCTTAGTAGCTACAATTACAAGACACTGAGCATGTTTACATGCATAATTTGAAACTGATTATGCTTGCGCGAACAATACATTTTGTTCAATTTACTTTGCATGTAAATGCAGAAGCTGACAATGTGACAGATGTCTGCATCTTATATGCATGTCGGTGTACATGTTGGTGCCAAACATGGGGAGAAGTTTTTTTTATTTTTTTTTATTTTGCATCGTCAGTTGATTTGAATGTACATGCTTGTAATAAGCAATGAAAGAAAGAACTGACAAACATAACATTGAGTGCCACAAGGCTCCGTGTTGGGTCCCCTGTTGTTCTTCTTGTTAATGCTTGCTTTATGAGTAAGAATGCTTCGAGGAAACTTAAAAAGTAAAATATACTAAAAATGTCTTTAGCATCCATTTGTTATATCAGTGTGATATATTCAATTTTCAGCTAAAGCAGGAGAGATGAGCTCTTTAATTTGTTGTGTTGAAGCAGTGAAACGTCATATGCATGCCTTTTTGCAGCCGTGCTTACTCACAAATTTTTGCTTTTCATGTGAAATTGGGCCTATTGGTGATACAACTGTTCCAGAGCAACCCTGTTCATTTTCCCCACTCTGAGGTTTTCGTGAGACTCACGGCAATAATGACAACATAGACCAGTACATGGAAAAAATCTTCGAAGTAAACAGAATTTTGCATGAGTTTCCATTGAGTGATTATAAAATTTATTAAAACTGATTCAATTTTCTGTTTGTCTGATTTGGACTGAGAAGCAGGTCTAAAATGTTTTTTGTCTATAAAGGCATTTGTGCCTATGTTCAGTTTAAGTTATTAAACTTATCAAGTGAAGAGCAGCGAGTGGTTTTCTCAAATTTTCAGTCAATATTACAGTTTGATTAATATTAATTAATCAATCATTATTTATTCAATATTATTATTCATTACAAATCAACAATTAAGAACATTACATTTCATGTTTTTTTTTTAACATTTATTTTTCAGTATTTTCGCCTTTATTATGACAGGACAGATCAGAGCTGACAGGAAGTTAGTGGGGCGGGATCGGGAAAGGTCCTCGAGTCAGGATTCGAACTCAGGATGCCCGTAGCACAATGGCGCTGTGTGTCGGTGTGCTGCCCACGATGCTATCGGTGCCGACCTAATTTCATGTTTTCATAAGGTTGATTCTGAACTTTATAAACTCCAGAAGTGCATGTGTTGTACATTCATGCTCCATGGATACAACAAGGCTTAACAAACAAAAAACTAATTGGCCCCTTTATCGTGACACTGTGTCCAAACTGGGTCTCAACCCTAAATGAGTTTGACAGCCCTGCTTTAGGCAATATTAACATAAAAAAAGTTCATTGGTATGCTGATTATATTCAGCTTTATTCCTTCTCCAGACCAGATGTTATTGTCTTTCTGTCTTTAATCGCAAAGTATTATCTTTGTAGAAGGTTTCTTCTTCATCTAATTCACATAGTATTCCTTGTCCCTGTCACCTTATTTGATGGAGTTTTTAAAGCAATTAACAACATGATTTAAACTATTATTTTAAAAAAGTTCCACACAAATTGACTTGACTCATTGAAACTCAATCAATAATTGAAAGCCATGCCTTACTATAACCTCTTATAACCTCTGAACACTACTTGTGAAGCCGTAGGAACTGTTAAACAAAACCCTGCGCTGATAGATGATTTCAACTCCTATTCTGTGGTTACAATAATTTACTAACCCATCTACATGACTGGACGAGGTGTGAGGTTGATGATTAAAAGTCCATGGGCTGAGGAGCATTTAACGACGGACTGCCAAACCGGTGAAATGTGGTGTGTAAAAGGCCAGTGTTATTATGGTAATAATTCAGCACAGACTAAAATTCTAATGGATTGGAGGACCCTGTAAAATATGCGAACACACACGTACACAAACATGTTCGCTCTCTGTCACACACGTAGAACAAATAATCGTCATTTCACAATTTTATCCATATTTTCGGGATGGAAAAAGACTGCAAAATGTTTTCGAACGCAGCACAATCTGGCCCGGTTCGGCTGATTCCATCCTCAAATAGGCAGCTCGGGTTGATTTCTAAACTTTTCCTTTGCTCTGATCCTGCCTGAAGTTAGACTCTGTGGTCACTTGCACACAGTTACGATGTTATCGCATACTGTTCCATTCTGTATAAACAGAAACATAAGCTAATTGGGACAAAAGAGAAACATTACAAGCAGCAAGAGGGGAGATGAGTAAGTAATAAATAAAATTACAAAATATGTCCATCAAACCAAGTCATATTTTCTCTTTTTAGCTGGTTGAAATTTGGCCTACTCTGCTGACTTTGAGGACCAAAACAAACTGTTGAGTGTCTGTTTAGCTCTTTTTAAATGAGTTGATCAACCAAAACAACTGGCAGAGGATGTTGTCTCAGCAGCAGGGGTGTGAAGTAACGAATTACAAATACTCACGTTACAGTAATTAAGTAGTTTTTATCAGTAATTGTACTTTTTTGAATAGTTTAAAAATTGTGTACTTTTACTTTTACTCGAGTACATTTTTGCAGCTTTACAGATCTTCTTTATGCACCAAGAGCTTGTAACACTCCAAAGAGAAACGAAAAATTGAAATTGCATCATATGACCCCTTTAAAATTTTAACAAATTATCAAGTTTAGTTCTTTTTATTTTTTTATTGCAAAACGCTGAAACTGGCACCGTTTTGGAGAGAAATGGAATGTACAACGTTTTTTAAATGTATCAATTGCGGTGTACAGCGTTTATTATGAGAGGGTAGAATCCACAGCTCAGTACTCACTACTCAATACTCATGAGTACTTTTAAATAGGCTACTGTTTTACTCTTACTCAAGTAGTTTTTTTGGACAAGTACTTTTACTGTACTCACACTACATTTTTTGGAAGGTAATGGTACTTTTACTTGAGTATATTTTTTCAGTACTCTTTCCACCACTGCTCAGCAGGGACGTTCTGCTGTTGCCCTGCTCTGACACAAAACAACCATAAACTGCAGAGCCATACAATTTCCACAAGCCACATAAAACTTGATATCAGCGCTAAAAGCTTGAAATTATTATTCAGAAAACAGGATTTCTGAATGTTTGGTGGTGAATTTTAACACAGCAAAACACTGCAGCTGTGAGAATGAGATGTTTCAATGAGAAAAGGTA